AAGAAATGGTATTTTAAAATATTATGGTCTCTAATAATTAATCAAGAAGTGCATTGTAGAGTTTTGCTTTTTAAAATTATAGAAGTAATACATGAATGTGTTCTTATTGTAAAGAGTCTGGCCAGCCATGATGACACAGAGCTGAGTAGGTGCTCCCTCCACAGAGGTGACAGTTTTATGTGCATCCTTCTAGTCTTTTCTGTGCATTTTCCTTTGTATCTATGTACGTGGAGCCCTCTTGTATTTACATACACATGATCATACTATACCAGCTGTTTCATACTTCACCTTTTTCATTTTATACTACATCTTGGGAGCTTTTTAGATATCAGTGTATGTAGGTTTATCTCATATTTTTTGTTGTTGATTTTTTGGGGGGAATGTAATTAGGTTTACTTATTTATTATTATTACTATTATTATATATATATTTTAAATTTAACAGAGGGACTGGGGATGGCACCCATGACCTTGTGCATGCTAAACATGTGCTCTACCACTGAGCTGTACCCTCCCCTGCATTGAGCTATACCCTCCCCCCACTGAGCTTACCCTCCCCCTAGCTATACCTTCCCTCCTTTTTATTTTATTTTTTTCTTGAGGTGGGGAGGTAATTACGTTTTTAAAAAATTTCTTTTCTTTTCTTTCTTTATTTTTTTAATGGAGGGTCTGGGGATTGAACCCAGGACCTCATGCATGCTATGCATGCACTTTACCACGCACCTATCTCCTCCTCCATCTCATATTTTTAATTCAAAGATTTAAAAAATAAATTTAATTCTATTCACTTAATCTCATTCATTTTTAATAGCTGCATAGTATTTATAATATATAAATAAACATCTGTTTATAATATAGCTGTATCATTCATTTAACTATCTCCCTAATGATGGATATTAAGCCATTTCCTAGTTTTTTGCTACTATAAACACTGTTTCAGTGACTATCTTTATGTGCACAAACAAGGATTTTGTAGGAAACATTCCTAGAAATGGGTCTCTAGGTCAGAGGTACACACATACTCAATAATGACAAATACCGCCAAACTGCCTTCCTAAAAGGTTTTATCACTTAATACTCCTGACACGTGAGTCCTGTTTCCTCAGATTCTTGCATTTCACTAACATCAAATCTTGAAAGACACAAGTTTATCAAGAACATTTGACAGATTTCTTGAATGAGCATGTATTCCTTTAATGAGAAAAAAAGTTTTAAAATTAAATCGAAAAGTTGCTTTCCAAGACTGAAAGCAAATGCAGTAATGTGTAAAAGTGGTTCTCTTTGGAAGACAGGCTGTGGGTCATTTTCATTTCTTTTTTAAGCTGAAAGAAAAAGATAGGTAATTAAAAACAAGAATGCTAACACTGAAACATAAATGTTACAGAATAAAATACGGAGAGAGAGAAAGAGACATCATAAGTCCCTGTCCAGTTAGCCATTGGATAGAAGAGAATTGGTTTGTGTATACTGCCAAGTGATGCTGGGTTGAGTATTCAATATACAAAGACACTTATCTGGAATAGACATTAGAGTGTTATTTAAAATGTTATTAAAACACATATAATCATTACACTGTGAGAGTAGAAATGACAATATCTTAGAAAAAATTGAATAATCTCACCATTTTCTGCTAGAATCCAGCCTACTTTAGAAGGATATTGCTTGCAAAATAAGATAAGGTATGAAAAATAATAAAATTATGGGCAAAATGAATGTCTTTACTGAGAAATTTCTGCCAGTGTGAATTGACTGTTATACACTATTTTATATTTGGTCATTCTTTTAGGATTATCCTAGGATAATCTTTGTGTGAAGATATTCAAAAAGTAACTTATGAGGTCAATTTCCAGTGCAGTATTCCAAGTTCCATGATTTTTTTGGCAAAAACTTCACAGGTGAGAGGAGGGTGATGACTCTGGAAAATGAATCACTCTTTCATGGATATGTTGCCCTTAGTTTAAAATGGCTGCTTTTTTAAACATATGGTTCCCAGCTGAAGTTTTATCACTGCTACTGTTTTTCTTCCCAAAAGATTATACACCAGTTTGATAAATTTCATCAGTGGGAAAATATTTTCTCCTCAAGTTAGGAAGGAATTTCTGCAGTTGGAAACATTTCTTCTATTAAAGATATTGAATTGGAACATGCTCTTCTTTTAACGGTAGGAATGTCTTTAGTCAAAAGTCATTAGAACACAGAGAATTGCAAAGCAACACCTCACAAGAGTGCTGTGGGACTCGTACAAAACCAGATTTCAAAAGAATAGAGGAATTGCTTGACTTGGACGAATGTCAGCACGTGTGCATGCAACAGCATTGCCCACCAGTCCATGGGTGGGGGAGGGGACGAGGTGGTCCAGGGAACCTGGCAGCTCAGACCCACTAAGAATGTACAAGAGTTTGAGGGGGGCCATGGAACAGTGGAAGAAATCGGGAAGATTTATTATCTAGAGAGTTGGAGTTCACCCACCCCAGACTCAGAGTTTTGTCATTGAGCCTGGCCCTGATTGCAGGGTTCTGGTCACACACACTGCTTCTGAGATCCTAGACAATGATGTCCCTAGAGTCCAATGGAATTAACTTCCCCCACCGCCGCCCCCAAGTCCCACCAGTCTAGGGAATGGGGTTGCTGAGGGGACCCAGGTCTCTGTCCTTGGGAGCAGGTCTGGGTTGCCTCATCCGCCACCTGCCATCTTCTCACCTTGACATTGCCAACTAGCCCCTAGGCTCCAAGCCACCATCCTTTGTTTCCTCCCTTCCTTGCTTTCTTGACCTGTGTCCCTGCCCTCCCTCCGCCTGCTGTCTTCCTCATCCGGTACAAGCAGGGCAGGGACCAAAGCAAGCATTAAGTAAATGTCTTTTGAATGAATTCATAAATGGTCACATATGACTCTGACATTTAAACATATATGCAAGCATTTTAAACTCTTTTATGTTTGTCTAATTATACTGTATTTTTTCTGTAATGAGTTCCTTAGCTTGTTACTTACCAAATGAAGTCATTCTTAATTGTTTTCATTATACATTGTAGAGAATGCAAGCAGCGCTTTTTAATGGAAACATTTTGGGATTTGATGAAAAAAACCTGGATTCACTTTATCCAGATTGTCTGTTTTCAGAGAATCTGGATGCCTGATTCGTTTCTCAATGTTTGTGTTTTTAGCCTAAACAGTCCTGATGCTTGTCCATCTTAATTCAGCAGAATTTCTTCTCTCTTCCTTTTCGAACCCCCTACCTCCCTCAATCCCCCTCTTAATCCTTTAGGTGCAGTGACCAAAAATGCTTGTTGTATTTCCTTTGGTGGCTACCTCAAAGTTTTTTATTCTTGTTAAGTTTGATGCTAGGGCAAGTAATGTTTTGCCCCTTTTGGGGCCTAAAGACCTTGTTTTCAAGCAATTGACTCCCCGGGGGCCTTTCCTAAGGCTTTAACCAAGGGCTCAGAGGTCTTCTTTTTTAATGCATAGAGGATTTATTTTATCCCTAAATAAGTTGCCTGGAACTTTCCTTCTGAGCAAATATCATTTCTCTGCAAGTAGGATCTTCTGGTGGGAGGGATGTCTGAACAAGTTCTCCTGAGTGATCACCACTTCCTTCTTTATTTAAAAATAACTTTGAGATGTAATTTACATACCATAAAGTCCGCCCTTTTAAACTGTACAATTCAGTGGTTTTTAGTATATGTACAGAGTTGTACAACCATCCCCATAATCTAATTTTAGACCATTTTCATCGTTCCCCAGAAAACCTTGTATAATTTAGCGGTTGCTCCTGGTCCCTCCCTCGCCTCCTCCAGTCCCAGGCAACTGCTTTTCTACCGTCTAACTCTATAGATTTGCACATTCTAGACATTTCATATAAATGGCCCCATGCAATCCATGGTCTTTTGTGTCTCGCTGCTTTCCCTAACAATAACATTTTTGAGGTTCACCCATGTCGTAGCATATATGAGTACTTCATTCCCTTTTATTGTTGAGCAATATGCTGTTGCATGGGCATACCACATTTTGTTCATCAGCTGATGGACATTTGGGTTGTTTTCACTTTTTGACTTTTTGGTGATTGTGAATAATACTGCTATGAAGGTTCATGTACAAGTTATTTTGTGGATATGTTTTCATTTCTCTTGGTTGAAAGGAAATATTCCTAGGAGGGCAATTGCAGGTTCCTATGGTAACTCTTTCTGCTTCACATTTTGCTGAACTGCCAGACAGTTTTCCAAAGCGGCTGCCCCATCTGACACTTCACCAGCAATGTGTGAGGGTTTGGTTTCTCTACATCCTTGCTGACACTTGCTATTGCCTGTCTTTTTGATTATAGCCATCCTAGCAGGGGAGAAGTGGTGGCTCACTGTGCTTTTGATTTGGATTTCCTTGATGACTCATGATGTTCAGCATCTTTTTCTGTGCTTGTTAGCAATTCACATGTCGTCTTCAGAGAAATGACTATTCACACCTTTACCTATTTTTATTTTCATTATGTATACCATTTGGGATATTTGTCTGTTTATTGTTGAGTTGTTAGCGTTCTTCATATATTCCGGATATACCTCTTCCTTCTTTATGAACTATTTTCATGTGGCTTTTGGGACATAACACTCTGGTTTTCCCCTTTCTCATTGTTCAACCCTCTTCAGTCTCCTTTGCTGGCTCCTTTATTTGTCCCTGATGTTTGTTGTTGTTGTTGTTAAAACAAATATTTTTTTAATTTTATTTTTTATTTAAGTGTAGTTGATTTACAATGTTAGTTTCAGGTGTACAGCAAAGCCATTCAGTTATATGTAGACATACAGGTATATATTTTCTTTTCAGATTCTTTTCCATTATATGTTATTACAAGAAATCGAATATAGTTCCCTGTGCTATATAGTAGATCTGTTTTATATATAGTGATGTGTATCTGTTAATCCCAAATTCCTAATTTATCCCTCTCCCCGATCTTAAAAAAAAACCTTATTATTGAAGTATAACATATGGATAAAAATGGCTTAAATAAGTTTTCACAGAGGGAATGCACCTGTTTACCAGCATCGAGACTAAGGAGTAGAACATGATCAGCATCCCAGGAGTGGTCCTCCTGTTCTCCTCAGTCACTGCCCGCACCAAGGATAACTAACTGTTCTGACTTCTAACATCATGGATGATCTTTGCTTGTTAAGGAACTGTAAATAAACAAAACCATATAATACATAGTCTTTTTGTTTACTTCTTTCATTCAACTTTATGTTGATCAGATTCATTCATATTGTTATATGCAGCTGTAGATTGTTCACTTGCATTGTTGTAGGGTATTCCATTCGGTAAATTTACCGCAATTTATTCATTCTACTGTTGATGGGCGTTTAGATGTTTCTAGTTTGTGGCTCTTGGGAATAGCACTCTTAGGAACATTCCTGTACATGTGTTTTGGTAAGTGTACATACATACACCCATACATACATGCCTGCTAGATATAGACCTAGGAGTCGAATTGCTGTGATACAGAGTATTCAGTATGTGTTCAAGTTTAGTATCTACTACCTCTTCTCAATTTTCCAAAGTGGTTGTACCAATTTATAGTCCTATTAGCAGTATATAAGGATTTTGGTTGCTCCGTATCCTTGACAACACTTGGTATCTTCTATATTTTGTTTGCTTGTTTTAGTCATTCTAGTATGTATGTAGTGGTATTACATCATGATTTTATCGGCATTTCTCTGATAACTGGTGAAATTGAGCATCTTTTTATATTTATTAGACATTTGTACATTTACTCTGCTTTTTAAAAAATTTATTTTTAATTTTTTAAACTTTTTTATTGTGTATATATATATTTATTGAAGTATAGTCAGTTTACAATATTGTGTCAATTTCTGGTGTACAGCATAATACTTCAGTCGTACATGAACATACATATATTTGTTTTCATATTCTTTTTCATTATAGGTTACTACAAGATATTGAATATAGTTCCCTGTGCTATACAGTATAAACTTGTTTATCTATTTTGTATATATTAGTTAGTATCTGTAAATCTCGAACTCCCAGTTTATCCCTTCCTACACCCTTTCCCCCTGGAAAACCATAAGTCTGTTTTCTTTGTCTGGGACTTTGTTTCTGTTTTGTAAATAAGTTCATTTGTATTTCTTTAATTCCACATATAAGTGATATTATATGGTACTTTTCTTTCTCTTTCTGGCTTGCTTCACTTAGAATGACAATCTCCAAGTCCATCCATGTTGCTGCAAATGGCATTATTTTATTCTTTTTTATGGCTGAGTAGTATTCCGTTGTATAAATATACTAACTTCTCTATCCAGTCATCTGTCCATGGACATTTAGGTTGTTTCCATGTCTTGGCTATTGTATATAGTGCTGCTATGAACACTAGGGTGTATATATCTTTTTGAATTAAGGTTCCCTTTAGATATATGCCCAGGAGTGGGATTGCTGGATCATATAGTAAGTCTATTTTAAGACTTTTGATGAATCTCCATACTGTTTTTCATAACGGCTGCACCAACTACATTCTTACCAACAGTGTAGGAGGGTTTCCTTTTCTCCACAGCCTCTCCAGCATTTACATTTACTCTTTTGGAATGCCAGTTTAAGCTGGGTAGTTTGGGGCCATTCTTAATATTTTGTTTCTTTTTCAAATTGTTTTGTAGGTGTTCTTTTTTTTTAATATAAATAATCTGATGATAAGTGTTTTGTCAGATATGAGTATTGTGTATTTCTTCTATTCTTTGGCCTGCCTTTTTTAGAATCTTCATGGTGTCTTTTGGAGACTAGAAGTTCTTAATTTTAAAATAGTTTAATTCCTCTTTTTTTTCTTTATGATGAGCACTTTTTGCATCTTGTTTAAGCACTTTATGCCTGTTGCCAGATCATAAAGACGTTTCTGTTCGTTTTCTTCCACATTTAGATCAGTAACCCATCTGGTAAGAGGGAGAGGCCAAGATTTTTTTCCCCTAAGGATATCCAGTACCAATTATCAAAAAGACTCCTTTCTCCACTGCTCTGCTGGGTCACCTCTGTGATAAATCAGGTGACCTTATATGTATGACTCTATTTCTGGACTCTCTGTTTTGTTTCCCATAGGTCCATTTGTCCATCTTTGTGTTAATATCACTATCTCAATTACCGTAGCTTGAAAAAGCTAGGCTTTGGTATCTGGTAGTGAAGTCTCCCAGCTTCAAGATTGTCTTGGCTCTTCCTTGGCCTTTTGCATTTCACACATATTTTAGAATCAACTTGCCAGTTTACACACACACACACGCACACACACACACACACACACCCACCCATAAACCTTTCTGGGATTTTGATTGGCATTGTGTTGAATCTAGGCATCTTCTACATCATAAATACGGCATTCCCTCTATTTACTTATGTCTTCTTAAAGTTTTTCCCAGTATCATTTTGTCATACTCAGTATGCAGATCCTGTGCATTTTTCATCAGATTTATTATTAGGTATTTGATGTTTTTCAATAGGTAAGTGGTTTTACGTGTGTGTGTGTGTGTGTGTGTGTGTGTTTTAGTTTCTGTTTTTGGGGGGAGGTAATTCAGTTTATTATTTACTTATTTTAATGGAGGTACTGGGGATTGAACCCAGGACCTCATGCATACTAAGGATGCACTCTACCACTGAGCTATACCCTCCCCCTAAATGGTTTTACCTTAAAAGTTTAATTTCCTCCTTGCTTATTACTGATATATAGAAATTGATTTTTATAAACTAGTCTTGTATCCAATGACCTTGCTAACTTCACTCATTAATTCGAATATTTGACTAAAGATTATTTTAGAGTATTTATGTATACAATTCATGTAATCAGTTTTATTTTTTCTAACTCATCCCTTGCTAATATCATGTTTTCTTTCATTTCATATATTTCAGTCCTTATTGACCCTTTCTCTTGTTATAGCCCAGAGTAATGGTAAAATTCATCAGTTCTCAGCTTCCCCAAATCCTCAGTAGCCCTTTGTAGGACGTGTCACATTTCTAAAGTGATATTGTGACCACAGATCATTTTTAACCATATTTTAGCCAAGCATTCCTCAGTTTCATACTTGGATTCCTTTCAAACGCCCAGATAATCTCTAGATTGCCTAAATGTTTAAACCTATTTCAGTCTATTCATTGGACTTGCTCAAATTTCCTCTTTTAAAAGTCAAAGTCAGATGGTAACATCTTGATCAATTTAAGTGAATTTGTGTTTGGGAAAGTGAGTTGGGCAATACAGTATGGCTGGAATTAAGGATGGTGGAGGTAAATGAGAGAAGACTGATGTGACTGCTTGTTTAATCCAGAGCAAGAGATGAGAGAGAGAACGAGAAATAGGTGGGGGGTAGGTCCTAGTTTCAGAAGTGACATCTATTACTCATGTGGCTGCATTCTATTAATTAGAAGTGAATCAGCCAGTAGGTCCAGCCCACACCCAAGGGAGAGAATTACAGGAGGGTGTGATTATCAAGAGGCTATTAAGTAATAACTGGGTGCATTTTAGAGGCTCCCTACCACATCCCCTGAGGCTTTGCAGAGGTGATTACTTCAAACTAATTCTTAAAAGGTCAGGCTTAAATCATGACCAAATTATGCTACAACTTTAAATTAAGCTTTCTCTACAAGCCACACATTTCCCGGCCCCAGCCTGGGGTGTCCTCCAGTCTGTGGGATAAAGCCATTCTTGTTCTCCACGAGAAGTCAGACTTCTCTGGCCTCAGTTGATACTCCTCTGTGGACAAGCTCAAACCTCTTACTCCGATTTTATATCCTCTGGCTCTTCATTTGTCCTCCAAAACCTTTTAGATTTTTCACTTTTGCCCTGAATTCTATATGTCTAAAGCCCAAATCATCAGTTTTCTATCTCTATTAGGACTGAGAAATTATTTTAAGATGGGAGAGTTGATATAAATGTGATGTCTGAATATAATGGTCTAAACATTTTTTTGTCCTAACAAGCTACATACTCATTTAGACACTACCCGTTCTCAGTCTGATAATTACCAGTGGGTATCTGTTGCAATCAGATGTAAATGTCTACCAGATCTACCACATACCTGCATTTCTGTCCATGTGGTCTACCTTCTTTCCTGGCCATGTGCCTGGGAAAAGGCCAAGTCCTCTGCTCAGGCTCCAGGACCCATCTCCCTCACCTGTTCAGCATCTGGAGTCTATCCCTCCTAACACTCAAGGATGTTGCTCCAGCAGTATACACTTTCCTTGCTGAACCACCAACTTTTCCATCTCCAATAGCTCTCTCATCAGAATACCAACATGGCATGTTACTTGTTTTAAAAATTTTCCCTTGATTCCACTTACTGTTCCAGCTATATTTTCTCTCCTTTCCTTCTTAAGCAAAATCCTTGAGAGACTTGTCTACAATGCCATCTCCAGTCTTCATTCACTATGAAATCCACCCAACCAGTCTACTGAAACTGCACTATCAAGGTCACCAGTGACCTCCATGTTGTTAAATCCAAGTGTTAAATCTCAGACACCTTACTTGTTGTGCACCAACTACCCTCCTTTTTGAAACACCTCTACCCTTCGCTTCCAGGATATCACATGTTCCCATTTCACTGGCTGCTCCCTCTGTTACTGGAGAAAAAGGTTCTTGTCTTGAGCAGGAAAGAATTAAGTGCGAGGCATCATGAAGTAAAAGCAGGTTTATTCATAGATAGAATGGCCACGTGATGTGAGAGTGGTTAGTTTTTAAGGGCCAGGTAATATTATATGCTAATTAGTGGGAGGATTTTTCCAATTATGTTGGGGAAGGGGAGGGGATTTCCAGGAATTGCGCGCCCCCCCAACTTTTTGGCCTTTACGGTCAGCCTGGGAACTGTCCTGGTGCCTGGGGGTGTGCATAAGGCCCAAGGTCTGCTGGAAGTCGAGTCTTCCTCCATCTTGGGCTTAGCTGCTCTGTCATTCTTTAAATGTTTGTGTCCCACCCCATCCCCTCCTATCTCACCTCTGCCTTCCTTGGTTTCTCCTCATCTCCACACACACCATGGTAGAGGACCTGGAACTTCTTTTGTGTCTACACCCATTCCCTTGGTTTTAAGTATCATTTACATGCTGATGATTCCCAAACTTACATTCCTAGTCACAGCCTCCCCTCTAACTCCAGGAATTATTTTATATCAGAAATGGCATAAAGATTACTCCAAAGTGAAAATATCTGAGCTT